GCAGACATTGCGCTTACCACAATGAAGATGAGCATACAACTCAGGGTTGTAGAGCCTTGAAAACATATTTGGAAGACCTGGTGAGACAAGGACATCTGAGAGACCTTGTCGATGAGACCAGGACAAGGAAAGAACGGGCAAGGTTGCCTCAAGCACCAACAGCCCCACCTCCCTCAGCACAGCAGCCGCAGGCAGGAGGACCTCGGGTAATCAACGTAATCCACTCAAAGGTCAACGAAAATGAAATTCGAGGAGAGACCCAGAAAGTGAAGCACGCGCAACATGTCTACCAATTTGGGGAGAAAAGACATCGGGCAGAAAAGTACCAGGGACCAATGATAACCTTTACTGAAGCCGACCTAGAGATGGTCCAACATCCGCATAATGATGCCTTGCTAGTATCCCTCCAGGTTGAGGAGTGCCAAATGAAACGCATCCTGATTGATCAAGGCAGCTCTTGCGACATCATGTACGTCCGATGTTACAAGGAGCTTGGCCTTCACCCAGATGATATGGAACAATCCAATGGCCCAATGGTTGGGTTCAATGGAACGCCGACATGGCCACTGGGAACAGTAAGCTTGGAGGTGCAGGCTGGCACCAGGAAGATCAAGACAGAATTCACCATCATCGACACACCCTCCCCTAACAACATCATCTTGGGAAGGCCATGGTTTCATGCAATGGGGGTAGTTCCCTTAACATTGCATCAACTATTACGATTCCCAACAGAGCATGTGATAGAGGAAGTCAGAGGCAATCAGCTGCAAGCGAAGAATTGCTCTATAGCAGTAATGAAATCTACCTGTAGCGTACGAGAGCCAGAGAAGGAAGAAATTGAAGATGAGGACGTGGAAGTCTTAGAAGACGTCGGTAAGGAGCCAGCCGAGAAGAGTGAAGAGGCACTGAAGAAAATCCTTGTCCAGGATGGGGATGAAGAACGCTTCTTTCTTCTCGGCTCGGGCTTAGCCGAAGAAGATGAAAAAGAGTTGGAAACTTTTTTGAGAGCAAATATTGAGGTGTTCACTTGGATACCTTACGAAATGCCTGGCATCGACCCCGAGGTCACTTGCCACAAACTGAATGTTGACAGGTCGGCCAAACCTGTAATTCAACGAGCCAGAAGACCGACGTTGATGCACGTCGAAGCAGTAGAGGAAGAAGTAGACAGACTTCTGGAGGCCAGGGCCGTTAGAGAAGTACACTACCCAACATGGCTATCCAATACAGTGGTGGTAAAGAAGAAGAACGGTAAATGGAGGGTCTGCGTGGACTTTACCAGCCTTAACAAAGCCTGTCCCAAAGACAGCTTTCCTCTACCCAAGATTGACCAGCTAGTAGATGCCACTTCAGAGCATGGAAGAATGAGCTTCCTAGATGCCTACAGGGGGTACCACCAGATAGCCATGTACCCCCCAGACGAAGAGAAGACCGCATTCATCACCCCAAAAGGCCTGTACTGTTACAGAGTAATGCCTTTCGGGTTGAAAAACGCCGAAGCAACTTACCAAAGGCTGGTAACCAAAATGTTTAAACACCTGATTGGCTGAACAGTAGAAGTCTACATCGACGACATGGTCGTTAAGACCAAGGAGCCTGAGGGTCATCTTGCCGTTCTAAAAATAGTCTTTGAAATCTTTAAAACATATCGGCTCTAACTCAATGCATCGAAGTGTGTATTTGGAGTTGGATCTGGTAAGTTTTTAGGATACCTGGTGACTAGAAGAGGCATCGAGGCCAGCCCAGATCAAATCAAGGCCATCCTAGAGTTGAAGAGCCTGATGTCGGCAAAACAGGTGTAGATGCTAACTGGAAGGGCCGTAGCCCTAAACAGATTCATCAGCAGAAGCTCAGATAAGTGCAGACCCTTCTTCAACTTGGTGAAGAAAGCCACAGACTTCTTGTGGATAGAAGAATGCGAAGTCGCTTTGGCCGACCTGAAGAAGTACTTGACCACAACTCTAGTTCTTTCAAATCCAGAACCTGGGGAGGAGCTATTTCTGTACTTGGTGGTTTCAGAACATGCAATAAGTGTAATACTAATTCGAAAAGAAAAAGGGGAGCAAAAGGCTGTTTACTATGTAAGCAAAACCCTAGCCGATGCAGAAATGAGGTATCTACCCTTAGAGAAATTGGCACTAGCTTTAGTAATGGCTTCAAAGAAGTTGAACCATTACTTCCAGGCCCATAAAATTGTGGTGCTAACAGAACACCCGTTGAAGTCCTTACTGCAACAAGGAGACCTGACAGGAAGAATAGCCAGATGGGCAGTCACCCTAGGCCAGTATGACCTGGAGTACAAGCCAAGGACAGTAATCAAAGGCTAGGTTCTGGCCGACTTCGTGGCCGAGTTCACACCAGAATCCATCAAACATCGGGCTCCGTTGAGCCAGGATGAGCCATATCCAACCAAGCAAGGAGAAGCATAGCCAAAGGCGAAAGAACAAAGGAAGGAGGACAAACTCAGACCCTGCAGCATCTACATCGGCGACTCTTTTCGACTGTTTGTTGATGGGAGTTCAAACTGACAAGGAGCGGGGGCAGGAGTAGTATTGATATCCCCAGATGGGCAGGTACTAGAACAGTCAATTCGTTTGGGGTTCAAGGCCTCAAACAATGAAGCAGAGTATTAAGCACTCATTGCAGGACTGAAGTTGGCAACAGCAGTGCAAGCAGATGAGGTAATAGTTTTTTGTGATTCACAACTGATAGTTAACCAGACAACAGGCGAGTTTGCAGCCCGAGATGAAAGAATGTCGGCCTACGCAAAAAAGTAATCAGACTGTCAGCCCTGTTTCAGAACTGCCAACTACTTCAGGTAAGCCAAGATGATAACAGGCATGCCGATGCGTTGGCCAACTTAGCTAGTGCAGTACAACCTGGAAAAGCAAGGACAATAATAATTGACTACCTGTCGGGCCCGAGCATTGAACCAGCAACCATAGAGCATGAAGCAATGTGCGTAGACATGGGACCAAGCTGGATGGATGCAATTGTTGCATTCCTAAAAAAAGAGAAGCTGCCAGACGACCGCAAGGAGGCACACAAGATTAGATTGAAGTCGGCAAGATTTAGTCTAACAGCAGAGGGACACCTCTACAGAAGATCCTTCACTGGACCCCTTTTAAGGTGCGTACACCCTTTGCAGGTTGAAGATTTTTTATACGAAATCCATGAAGGAATTTGTGGAAGCCACGCTGGGGGCAGATCACTAGCTCACAAGGCCATTACCCAGGGGTATTGGTGGCCTTACATGCAGAAAGATACAGAAGCCTACGTGAAGAAGTGTGAACAATGCCAAAGGTTTGCACCTTTGATACACCAGCCAGCTGCTGACCTGAACCCTGTATCCAGTCCTTGGCCATTTGCCTAATGGGGCATGGATCTCGTTGGGCAATTACCCCAAGTAACTGGACAAAGAAAGTACTTGCTGGTAACAACAGATTACTTCACAAAATGGATAGAAGCAGAACCTCTTGCCAAGATCTGAGATGTGGATGTCAAGAACTTCATATGGAGAAATATCATCACCAGATTTGGGATTCCGAGAGCAATTGTTGCAGACAATGGAACTCAATTTGACAGCAAGCTAATCAAGAACTTCTGTGCAAAGTTCAAGATCAAAAACTACTTTTCAACCCCAAGCTTTCCACAAAGTAATGGACAAGCAGAAGCATCCAACAAATTAATTTTGGATGGAATAAAGAAGAGGTTGCAGGCAGCAAAAGGCAAATGAGTAGACGAATTGCCTAATGTACTCTCGGCATATCGGACTACGCCGAGAAGATCAACAGGAGAATCCCCCTTTACGATGGCTTATGGCACAGAAGCAGTCATTTCGCTGGAGATCGGCATCCCAGGAATCAGAACCCAGGGAGTAGAAAACGGAACTAATGATGTACTCTTAGCCCGAGATCTGGATCTTTTAGAAGAAAGAAGAGAGAAAGCTACAATCCAGCTTGCAGCATACCAGCAGCAATTTGCAAAAGTTTATAACAAGAAGGTCAATCCAAGAGAGTTTCAAGTCGGCGACCTAGTCCTGAGGAAAGTCGTCGGCAATAAGAAAGATCCCAGAGAAGGCAAGCTTGGCCCAAATTGGGAAGGACCCTACAGAATCATCTCGGTATTGGGCAATGGGGCTTATCGGCTTGAAGATAATGAGGGCAAAGAGTTGCCAAGACCTTGGAACACTTGTAATTTAAATTTTTTCTATCATTAGAATTTCTTTCTTCCTTTGCCATTTGCCGAAGTAAATAAATAAAGATTCAGTTCTCTTTTTAAGACACTTGACGTTGTCTCTAGAATACATGCATAACGAGAACCCAAGTAGAACTAAGGTTCACATTAGAGGGCAGAGAGAAGAAGAATATGTTTAACACTTGTTGAAATTTGTAGACAATTTACAAGTTAAGTTAAACCGAAATCCTTGTTTAGCACTTGTTGAAATTTGTGGACAATTTATAAGTTAAGTTAAACCGAAATCATTGTTTAACACTTTTTAAAATTTTTGGACAATTTACAAGTTAAGTTAAACCGAAATCCTTGTTTAACACTTGTTGAAATTTGTGGACAATTTACAAGTTAAGTTAAGCCGAAATCATTGTTTAACACTTGTTGAAATTTGTGGACAATTTACAAGTTGAAGATAAGCCAAAGTCATTTTTTAACACTTGTTGAAATTTTTGGACAATTTACAAGTTGAGTTAAACCAGTATGATGTTCAACACTTGTCAAAAGTTTACAGGTTAAGATTAAAACCAAGAAGTTTGTCTATCCGAGGTGTGTCACCCCGAGAAGATTGTACAAAGAAGGAAGAGTATATGAAAGACATGCAGAATATTCTAAGTATAGAATTACGCCAGAGCAGTCAAGAAAAGACAAAAGTACAAGCAATCAGTAAAGAAAAGTTGTATTAGCATTCAACAAAAGGGAGGAACGTCGGCCATATGGAGGGCTTACATTGTTTCAAAAAACAAAGTACGAAAGAAAAGACATGAAAACTAAGGTTCCTCTGCTTCAATAGTGAGCTGGGTTGGGACCTCAGACGATTGTTGAGAAGCAACCTCGGCCGCCTTCTCCGCCATTAGCTCAGCATCAATTTCTTGCAAAGTTTCTTCAATACTCCTGTCGGTGAAGGGGACGTCGGCTGATACCTTCTCATGAGCAGCGTCTTTGGGAACCTCATCACCTTCCTCATCTTGAGTCAAGTCTAGGACTTGCTCCTTCTGAAGAGGGGACTTGGCCCCATTAGCATCCTTGGATTTTCTCACCAAGGCCTCATCCTCATCCTCATCACCATCCTCAGACTCAGATTCGTCGACGTCTTGACTTGGAGGTGGAGATGGAGGGAATAGAAGAGGAATGGCGTCGGCTTTTCTCAAGGGCGAGTCCTTAGGAACGTTGAGCTTTTTCAAAAGGGACATCCAACCAAGGGTGAAACCCTTGTTGCATGCCTCCTTCACTTATTTTTCATAAGCCTCAGTAACATCGGCCATGCCCTGGGCGTACGCCTTTTCATCGGCGTCTTCGATTTCAGCCTCTTTGGTGGCCAAGGCTTCTTGAAGCTCCTTTTCGGCTTGGGCCATCTTCTCCTCAGCCTCTTTTCTTTGGGACTCAGCAACCTTTCTAATGGCTTCGGAAGATTCAGCCTTCTCTTCGGCTTTAGTTTGGGCTTTGATTGCAGCCTTGGCTTGGTCCTCCAACTTTTTTATCTTGGACTGCAAATTCTTGTTGGTTTTTTGAAGAGAAAAGAACTCCCTCTTCATATCGACCAGCTTCTGCTGATTTTTGAAAGATTGAACAGAAAAAGAGTGGGCATGCTGGATAGCCTGAAAGTAAACAAAACGAAAGTTATTGCAAAATTTTCTAAGTACATAAAAAAGAAGAAAATTACCAAGTAGAAGATACTTACTTGGACAGAGCGTTGAAGCATCAAAGCGTAATTTTCATATTCGCTCAGCTCGGCATTGCGATCAAGATCGCCGGGCAAAAGCAAAGCGGTACTAAGCGCCACGCCGACATTTTTGTCATCGGCACTATCAGTAGCAAGGACTGGCTTATCCTCCAAAGTAATTTTTGGGGACCAGAGGGCATCATTTTTTTTAGACCCCGAAGTAGTAGCGGAGGATGACTTCGGCTTTTTGGATTTTGGGGATTCTGATGGTTGGGCTTCAGAGCGCCTCTTCCCAGCAGAGGGTTGAGGTTTGTCACTCTCAGCCAACTTTGAAATAGGCAAGGTATCTTTAGACTCAACCTGAGTTACCTTAGCCTTTGGTTGAGCCTTCTTTATTCTTTTTGGCTTCGGTGGAGGTTGGGTTTGTGCTGGTTGATCATCAACGGATGACGGAATGCTGGCCAGAAGATCTTTTGCAACCAATTTTTGGCGACCCATCTCGGCGTAAGAAACTGATTGGCGTCGACAACGGCGTTGGGATATTGGAATTAAGTATGGAGCCGAGGTTGACGGTTGATCAGCTGGATCGGAAGTTGACCCTTGATCTGTCCGAGATGTGGACACAATCTGTGGAGTTGTGGCCGATGGTGGAGAAAGGCTTTTTTTTTCTTCCTCTTAGGGACGTCGAGCAAAGCAGACCTGTATGTTGGAATAAAGTTGAGGAGCAGAGGTGCCTTTCGTTTATGAATTGGCAAGTTCAGAAGTTTTTTCAAATCCTTGCTGGGATAGAAGGATTGGTGAAAGTTCTTTGGAGGCTGAGGAAGAACTGCAAAGATAGAACAACACAGACATTAAAACAGAATATTGAAAACTTTATGCAAGAAGATAAGAAAACTTATGAAGGGTGGCCCTTACCAGCTCCATCCCCAAGAACTGTTCAGCTTAAGGGATAAAGATAGAGGTCATCATTAGGCTGAAACTCCCAATTGCCCGAGACGATGAAGAAATCGTCTCCAGCTCCCTTGTTGGAGCCTGGGAGGTCGGCTACGATTTTATATTCAATGGATCTCGACTTGAGGTAGTAGACATAGTCCGTGTTTTTTCTAAGGCGACACATGGTATAACAGTATTGAAAATTGGCAAGCGTAATCCTGGCATTCTCTTGTTTGACTAAAGCTATGGTACCAATAATAACTCGGTAAGAATTGATGGCGAGTTGCATTGGGTTCAACTTATAAAAGTGAAGGATTTGACGGAAAAAAGGGTCAAGTGGAAACCGAAGTCCACACTCAATAAAGGCAACAGTCATCATCCCCAGCCAATCTCAGATTGACATCGGCTGGGATTTCAAACTCTTGCCTAAAAAATTCTAGCTTAGAGGGGGTGTCTACCCGATGTTTCCACATACCCATGATATCGGGATAACAAAAGGTATTGGATTTCAGAAAGAAGATGTATCAAAAAAGGGTTATTGAGACCTAGGCAAAAACCTAGGTTTGAGCTGGTGCAGAAATTTGTAAGGGATGTTTCAGTTTTGCCCTAAAATGTGGGTTTTACAAACAAATCCCAAACCTAAAACTATGGAGATGAAGATCAAAGGCACAGATCTGGAAAAGACACAAAAAATAAAAAGCAAGAACGGAGTTTTAGAATCAAGAACAGAGATGGTTTATCAAGAGCATAAAGAATACAAGAAATATAGGGCCAAAATCAGTGGCAAAAATACAGGGAAGTGGTGAAACAGTGCGTGTGTTCAAGATATGGGCAAGGGCCAAACCATGGAATAAATGCATTCATATTCGCAAATTGAACATTCGAATGAAGCAGTAATAACAACAAGTTCCAGAAAAACAATCAAGAACTGAAATAAGAAGGAACGGTTGCTTACCAGAAAAAATAAAGCCGGTGTAAGGATCGCCGAAGTCAGACGATGGTTACAGAAGTAACAAGACGGCGGAAGCTTCACCGGGAGAAAGAATGAGGGCCGTTGCAGAGCTTGAGGTTTGGAACAATGGAAGAAATGAGAAAAGCTAGAGAGAGAAAAAGTTTTTCAAAAACGAGAATAAGGTGAAAAGAAAAAATCGAAGAGATGTATTGTTAAAAATGAAAACGACGGCAAAAAGTAATCAATACGCCTAGAAGAACGTGTGCGTCAGACGGCGCACATGAGAGAGAGACGGCTTACAGGCGCGTCACAGGTACGAACCAGTAAGAAAGAAACGCGTGGCTAGAAACGGTTGAATTATGGTATATGACAGCTCATACGCGTGAAAGGGGTTCTTGAAGTTCTTGTTCTTCAACAAAGACATATCGGCCGAAATAATGATCTCGGCTGAGATACTGTAAACCGGCATACTGGAAAAACGGAATGATATAGGTTCCATCACTTCAGAATACCGAGGTAATAGAACCTAGGGGGCAGTTGTGGGGATATATTTTTGAGTACCGACACGTGGCAAGGTGACGCCGACGTGTCAGCCGAGGTGCCACGTGTTAGGGTCATGACGCCGAGGTGATCTCGGTTAAGCCGAGGTTATCGCCGAAGATATCAGAATCTGAGATAAGCGAATGAGGGACAAGAGTCCTAGAATAAAGAGGAGACTTAGCCAAGATACGGATAAAGCTCTTAGGGAGTTTATCTTTATCTCTGAAGGAGTCCAAAGTAAGTACTGAACATGAATCCATAGAAGTCAGGCTTCTATTGAGATTAGGATTGAGGTAACTATAAAAGAGAGGCACCCCTGTGGGTCTAAGGTACCCAATTTTATGCTTTTGATACTCAAGCTTGTGAGTTTAGCACTTGATTTATCTTTGAGAGATATACTGACTTGATCGTCGGAGTGCCCCCGGGTGGACGAACCACCGCCGGAATCTTCTCTTTCTGTTGCAGATCAGCCAGGTGCCATCTATTCTGCCGGTGCTCTCCAGCTGGTTACTAAGCGGGCAGTGTGGTCAGAAAATCGCCCACACAGTATATATCATTTTTAAAAATAAATTAAGTAGATCCGATAATCGTAACATGTTTAATTTATTAAGTTTATTTCCAACAACAACAACAACAACAAAATTGAATGACAAATGTGCTTTTGAAGATAGACCTTTTTTTTTTTTCTTTTCATAACAAATGTGATAAAATAAACAACCCATAATTATCAAATGGATCTATTTTTTCTTTTCCTTGAATGATATATACGAAAGATTTTACAAAATAAAGGATTAACTTATCGAAAAGCTCAGAAATACCCTCCAGTATAGATGTGGACCGGAGAGAAACCCCACCTTTATTTTAAATTAAAAGATTCTCAAAGTAACTTATTATTTAAAAAATATTATTATTATTATGTCATTATAATAAAATATTTAGTATATAATTTATGTTTACAAATCATTTTTGGAAAAAAGAATGGTACTTATTGGAGAACTAAATACAATTGAAAACATTTCAAGAAAATCAAACCTATATGCAAATTTTATTTCATAACGTAACTCATAATAAAGACATAATTATCATCATTTTAGCTGTCTACATACTATATCTACCTATATGTGTACTATAGCGACCCCGGCCTTCTCCCATTTGATTATTGTATCTGGACTTAGGTTCCGTAGATTCTGTCATTTTAAATGATTGTTGTTGTCCCTTATTTTTTCTCATTTGGAATTATAGGATGTGTTGGGCAGGTTTGTTTCAGGTTGGTTCGGTTTAGAAATCAAGTGTTGCTGTCCAGTATTTTGGATCTTCGCTCGAGCGAGGAGTTTGTCGCTCGAGCGAGCTGTTGTTTTTGGTTCTTCGCTCATAGATATATCTGATA